ATTCATAACAGTAGCAAAATTACAGTTATGAAGTAGCAACAAAAATCATTTCACCACAACATGAGTATTAAGGGATCGCGGCATTAGGAAGGTTGACAAACACTGTTTTAGGCTCTCCCAGAACAGAGTAAGCTCTTCTCCTTCACTGTTCTACTCAGAGAAGGGGGTGGTTCATTTTGTATAAGGGTAAAGATACAGTTCTTACACTGACCCATAGGTATGTTGACCCAGTTTTTTTTAACTAAAAATTCTAGACTTCCAAATGAGTATATACAGCAGTCTCATCTTTTTAATAGTTACCTTTCTTACCTGTACTAGCCTTGAAATGTTCACATTTAAGAAGCCTTTATTAGTACTAAGAAATGATTCACTAGATCTCCCTTTCGCTTTTCTTTTATAGTGTCACTTCCAGCAGAAACACGAGCTCCACCCAGCTTGGGTCAGCTCTCTGTCTCAAACGTCACCAGCGATTCCGCCCATCTCACCTGGACTGTTCGTACAGGGGAGTTTGACTCCTTCTTAATCCAGTACAAGGACGCTGAAGGCAAACCTCAAGCGTTGCCCTTGGACGCAAGTGCCCGTGAGACCACCATCACTAGTCTGTCCCCTTCTCGTCGATACAAGTTCAACCTCTATGGAGTTGCAGGGCGTAAACGTCTTGGCCCATCCTCTGCAGATGCAGTCACAGGTAAGTGTGTATGATTTTGAACTGAGAAATGCCATCTCAAGCTACTTTTTCTTCTCTGTATTTCAGAGAGAGCTTAACAGATTGGAGATATGAACCAAAATCCACAAAATGCATTAATTTAGGTTAGGAGCCATGTGGATAGACAACAGTAGATGTGGAAAGCATCTAGGGCAGTGTTGCACCAGCACAGGAATAATCCTCTGACTTTAAACACCACACGTTGAATATGAAAAAAAAAACCAATCCTTTTATTGAAGATAAGTAAAAAACAGTAAAGTAAAAGGCATGTTAAAGAAATGGGTAAATCCAATTTGGTAAGAAGATAAGCAGGAACAAATTAGTCCAAGGTAGAGTTCAGCAAAGTCCATAAAAACAAAGTCTGCACAACTCTAATACAATCCAGAAA